AACCATCTTCTTATTATACAGCAAGGCAAGGCTTTTATAGCTCAAATGACCATATCGTTTGTGCCAAATTTCACTTTTCTCTTCATCATGTGTATTAAAGCATGTTGAGTCTGCAATGAGAATGTTTGTGATGACTACAAACATTCTATTTGCAGTCATTATGCTTTCCATTATCAGCCCCCGAGTTAGATGGTACAGCTTGCACGCTCCATTCTTTATCAGTATATTAATATCTCTGTCTTGCAATTGACCTATACTGAGAAAATTATTACGCAACTCCGGTATGAAATATACATTACTAATAATTTGAACTTGACCTCCAAACTCCAACTTTATGCTTCCTTTCCCCGTCACTATCAGATTAAAGTCATTCCCAAGTTTTACCGAATGTTTTAATTCTTCATCAAGGTGCATGAACCACTCTTTGTTTCCGGACATGTGATTTGAGCATCGGAGTCAAGAAACCAGATTCCTTCCTTTTTGTTCTGCTTGAGATCTACATGTGCCATTAGAAGTATCTCATCTTCATCATTTATTTCAGCATAGTGAGCTCTCTTCTGCCAATTTGTACATTCATATTGATAATTCCCAAATTGTGGCACCTATAACATTCCACAGTTGACTTATCATATAGTTATCTTCCTCTTCCTCGGCCCCTAGTTGTTCCTCTTCCCCTAGTTGTTCCTCTGACTCTTCCACCTTAAGCTTCAGATGTAACTTTTAAGGCTTACTCTTCTTCGACTAGACCTCTCATTCTCTGTTCATGGATTAAGAGACTACTTTGGAGTTTATCCACAGTTAGAGTATCCACATTATTTGATTCCTCAATAGAACACACAACATAATTAAATTTGGAAACTAAAGAGCGTAGGATTTTTCCCGTGATGTCTACTTCTTTCAGATTTTCTCCACGTGCCTTCATCTTCTTGGAAATGGAGAGTGTTCTTCCAAAGTAAGCATTAACAATCTCCCTTTCCTTCATTTTTAAGGTTTCGAACACAGCCTTAAGAGCTTGAAGTTGTGCTCTCTTGACTCTAGTTGATCCCTTGAATTTCTTCATTGAATCCCATATCTGCTTGGATGTGTCATTATTTAGAATGGTCTCCAAGATTTCTCTATCGATCGCTTAATAGAGATAGTTCTTCACTTTCTTATCCTTTAATTCTTGTTCTCTGATGAGTTTTGCTTCTGCTTCTGATGGCTCTTTCCCCTCTGGAATCATAGTTATTCCATCTTCTACCAAACTCCAGAACTCCTTTGATCGAAGGAAGTTCTCCATTAATTTGGCCCAATGCTCATAATATCCATCAAATTTAGGGATGGCAGACTGCACAAACGTGCTGATGTTGGTGTTGCTCTCCGCCATTTTCTTTTCACTCTCAATCAAGCCTGTTTGACAAGCTCTGATACCAATGTTAATAAATAATGAACACAATAGCAGATTACACAAAATACAAAGTTATTTGTTATTCTGAAAGTAACCAAATGCAGTTACTAAATAGCCTTACAAAGAAACTGTAAAATCTAAAATAAAGCAACTTCTCCCATGATCTCAGGAAACCTCTCCTTGATCTCAGAAAACTTAAATGTAAACATAAGAACGAGTCAAATATGAAACTAACCCTATCATGTCATATTTTATAGGAGCTTATTGAAACAAACTACTAATTAGAAAAATACTAATTAGAAAAATACTAACTTAACAAAATCCTCTCTCACACGAGACTTAAAGGAGGATGTATATATGGAGATTCAACTTGACTTTGGTATCACAGAAGGAACAAACAATGTGTGTCGATTAAGGAATATTTTATATGGGTTAAAGCAATTACCTCAAGATTAGTTTGAAAGATTCACAAAAGTCACAGTGTGTTTGGGCTATAAGCAAAATAAATGAGATCAAACTTTGTTCTTCAAACATTCATAAAGATGGGTATGAATTTTACTTCATATTTATGTTAATAATATTATTGTTATAAGTGATGATTTGATTGAGATACAACTATTTATTAAAAAATTATTAACGGATTTTAAGGTGAAATACTTTAGGAAATTCAAATATTGTGAATTGGGGTAGGTTACACGAAACAAGGTCCCTTTATGTTTCATATAAAATATATATTTGATCTTTTGTAGAAAACTTGGATGCAAAATAACAAGTGTTTCTATTAAGAAAAATCATAGGATAAACTTTGAGGAAGAAAGTCTCAAAATTGATAAAGGTCGGTATTAGAGATTAGTGAAAAAAAGGTTTACTTGGCATATGTTAGGTCAGTTTTAACATATGCAGACAATGTGATCAATCAATTTGTGAATTATTCGAAGATGGAACACTTGCAAGTTGTAGAATTTATTTTACAATATTTGGAAGTCACTCCATCGAGGACTTATGTTTAAAAGAGTGGAAGTCTAACTATAGAGTTTTACATTAGTATTAATTATGTAGGTTCGGTGAGTAATATAAGATAGAGGTGTTCAAATTCAAAATAGTCTAAATAAAAAATTGAAAATCGATCCAAAAAATTAAAAATCGCAAAAAATCAAAATTTATTGGATGTGTTTGGATGTCATTTTGTGAAAACCGATCGGTTCGGATTGAATTTCAGATTAATTTTTCAAAATCGATCCAAACCAAACCAAACCGCATACATATATTTTTATACTTATTTACTTTTTATTAGTATGAAATGTTACATAAATTTATTATTAGATGATAATAATTTTTTTAATAATAGTTATTAGTTTGATATAATTTATTTATTTTTATTATTTCAATCATAATCAACCACTCTCACTTTGTAATATTAACTTTTAATATACTGTATGTTATATATTATATCAAATCTATGATTTATTAGTAGTTTTATAATATTAATAAAAATATAATGTGTAATTTGGATATCTAAAAACCGATCCAAATTAAACCGCATAAAATTGGATCGGATCAGATTGGATTTTTTTAATATATCATCCAAAACCGAACCGAACCGCAAATAAATTTATCTTTGGATCGGATAATTTTTTGTCTTAAAATCGATCCAAACCGAACCGCGAACTGTTGGAGCACAAGGAAGATAAAAGGCAAAAGGAATATTTACTGATAGCTTCTAAAAATAAGAATTTACAATGAATTACAATAACCTACTCTACTAGGCTATTTATACATATAGATTAAATCTAAAATATATCTTCTACAAAGATATAAGAAGATATGAGATATATATATCTTCCAACAAAGATATAAACAATCTAAAAGATATTCCTAAATATAAATTAATATCTAATTAAATCTAAATTAATTCTAACACGAACACCCCTAATACAAGATATGTTTCAGGCTATTGTAACTTTTTTTTTTGTGGAAATGTAGTTGTTTGGATGAGTAAAAAAGAAAGTGTAGTTTTCCGATCAAGTGTTAGAAGCAGAATTTAAAACTATAGCACAAGATAATTATGAGTTATTATGGATGAAACAAGTGATAAAAGATTTGAAAATAATGTGTGAAGTCGTATGAAATTGTTTTGCAATAATAAATCAACCATCAATATAATACATAATCATATTCAGCATGACAAGACAAAACACATTGAAATTGATCGATATTTCGTTAAAGAAAAATTAAATAATAGAGATTGATATCATACCTTTCCTTTAGGTATCAACCGACATATGTGTTAACTAAAGGTTTATCAACAAAATAAATCAACGAACTTTGTTGCACGTTTGAGATGATTGAAATTTATTCACCAAATTAAAAAACAATGTTGTAAATATTATATTATAAATAACAATTTATAATATTAGTTTGAAACTCGTTAAACAAAATCTAACAATTTTATTTTTATTTTTATTTACTGAAAATTATTTCAACTTTTTAACTACAACTTTTAATATATAAAAATTTTATTCTCTCCCTCTATAATAAGTGTCTTATTTGAGTTTTGTGCGATTCTTAAAAAAATAATTAGATATATTAATTTTAATGATAAAATTAATATATTTAATAAAACATTCTTATTTATATAGTTAGTAAAATAATTGAAAAATATGAAAATTAAAAAATAAGAATATAATAGTAGAAAAATAATAATAAATGATGTATGGACATCTTAAATATATTTATTTTAAAACATAGAAAAAGTGCAAATAAGACGTGACTATTTATAATAATAGTATATAGTATCTTATGTCATAAAATATCTTATAGTATGACTTTAGCTTGGCCAGGACCTGCATGTGCCAGCCATGTGTATGACGTGTATAAGTTCAAGAGAACACATACGCTTAATCATGACCTATAAAAAATAAGGCAAAAGATAGCTGCAAATCTCATGGAAACATACACAGCCTAAAAGTGCATGTTCATGATTAAAACAAAGCATGTCCTATATAAGTTTTGCTTTGAAAATAACGATAGAATACATTTCTTGAAAATATATATACACATGCATCGTAGTGGTTCTCACACTAATCATTCTAATTTTAGTAACAACATTGAATACTACAAGAACTCGTTCAGAAGGCTCAACATATGTCTAATCTACTAGTAGTATTGTGTTTGTGGAATTGGTCTATGATGATTAGATAAACTTCCTATAGCGTAATACAACAAGAGTACTTCCATTTCATGATTCGAAAAGACCCATATACAAATGAACAGATATACATCCAGAAACAACAAAAGAGATAAGAAAAAGAATGAATAGCCTCCGACATCCTATTGCGCATTCCATCTTTTAACAGAACCTTTCGCCACCTCTTGGGTGGTTCCTATTCCACTCTTCAATTCACATAAATCCTCTAACAGACTGCTATTGTTAGTCTCTCCTGTCTCTGATGCATTGAATCCGTATGAACAATCTGAGAAGATTTCAAAATGAATCCATATTCTGAGAAACCCCGAGGGTAATAAAGGGAGTCACAGTTGCTTGGAAATTCAACCTTTGCGTTATATGAACAATCTTTGTCACTCTCAAAATGCATATGTACATGATAATTCATTAGTCACTTCCACTGATATGTCTATCTGAAAGCAATAGATAAAAGGAGCAAATTAAATTATGGACACGTGTAACTCAAGGCATCAATGGATATAAATGAGGAAGAGATTATCAAAAACCTGATGTTCGTATCCCTTCCATGGCTTCTTTCTTCTCTTGGCAACTTGAGCATAGGAAAGGTCCATCCCAGGGGCGCGGTTTCCCTTGGTTAGGCGCACCCTCGTGTACTGAAATACCCTCCCCGGGTTTAATCTCTACTTGACATACTGCACACATGAATAACTTGAACATGTTGCAGAGTGGATATTTTGTTTCAAACCTGCAGCTCAGACAAAGATGTTTCAGTGTTAAGAGAGACAACTAGAGAGCCAGCTGCAAAGATTAATGACACTAAAAAAAACCAAACCTTTCTGAAAGCATGGCAGATCCTTCCTCGTATAATTCCCGAACCATATCTGGCTCAACGTATTCTTTTTCAATATATGAAGATGGCTCAGAGGACTTTTTGCGAAAAATGGCCTTCAACATTCCTTTTACCGGTCTCTTTTGTGATGGTGCAGAAGTAGGTGGCTTCTCCTGGGGTAATATATCAACCACGATGCATGTTGTGTCATCCCTAAGTCCCTTTGCTTGCAAAGATTCCTGAAGAAAGAAAAAGGACAGGAATAAACGGTATAAATGAGCTAACTCACAAAGTGACAAGGTGAAATTAGAACATTCAAAGATTATTCAAAAGATGTCTGTTGAGCATACCTTTACAATATGTGGTGCCGCAGCCTCCGCTGACATGCCACGACAACAATCAAGGACCGCTTCTGCAGATAGAGCATCCCAGACTCCATCACTGCAGATAATAAGTCTTCCTCCAGAAGTGGAAATCTGTATAAACCAAAACAAGAGGGGGAAACAAGGGATTAGAGCAATCAAGAAAAAAAATGTCTTGTCAATTCCCTACGGGAAAATGGTTTAAAAGTATTTAGTACATAATCCTATCAAATATTAAATTACTTTTACACAGCTACTTTGTTTTCCATTAAAATACTTCCATTTCTATTTCATCAATTACAGTTCAAGGGTACTCATTAGTTTTTTCGGAAAACAAAAGGAATTGCAGCAACAAAGCCAGAAAAACTATGTTGTTAATCTTATGAAAAACTAGTTGCTCTTTTTAAAAGGGTAGAAAAATCAAGCTGTGAAGAAACTATATGTGCCTATGATACAGAGATTAAAACAATATAAAAATAAACTTAAGTAGATAGCGTAATTATAAACACTAAAGTAAAATTCAGAAACAACATATGCCCAATATTGCTGCATGTGCAAGGGAAAGCATTGACCAACCTTCACTTGCTTCACATATGGTACAGGGACAATAAATTCACCAACATCCATATCACCAATGGATCGAGAAAGACACAGGCCACCGGGCCAACATCTCAACGGGCCAACCTATGCAAACCATTAACCTAGTCAGGCAAGTAAGTTTGACACAAACACAAATTACTGCTAAAAAATACTAATGAATCACAATAGGAGATAATCTAAATATTATCAAATATAGCCAGTACAATACAACATCAAAAGTGTAAAACGCCTTCTTAAGATACCCGTAAAACTTAATGACTAAGACCTATGTGATGAGTACTTTAAAGTGAAAAGACACGATCCTATGACTAGCAGCATAGTAGCATCAATCATCTTGCCTATTGATTCTCCATGGTACGATTAACCTAATTTCCTTGTGAATCACTTTTAATGTAGTTTATCTGTTAAAGCATCTTATGCAACAGAAATAAGGAATAGTATTACTAGAGGCATCAAATCCATTCTCAAGACATTTCTTTGTTGTTTTACGTGATAGCAGTTTTGCTGTATTTTCTCGAGGGAACAGTTTTGAAGCCCTATATAGGTAGTGAATACCACCAGATAAAAATAGATAAAGTTTAACGGAAATGTACCTCCGCACCTCCACCTGTATTTAGCCGGCCAACTTCACCCCCACTAGAAGTGATACGCGCCCTCCTGATTAAAGAAAAAGAAAGGATGAGACTTCACTACAATGTAATGGAGCAATTCCAGACAGTTGTTCATAAAAACATTCCAGTAAATACTTACTCCTCTTCATTGGTGTCTAGACGATGATCTGCTGACAAGTAATGAATCCCACCTTCAGAAGGTTCAAGTATGCAACGGGAATCACCAACTGATGCAACTGTTATAACCCATCCTTCTATAATCACAAAGGTTACGGTTGTTCCTGATGTTTTTGCTGTACAAGATAATATATGCCTATCAACAAACACCTCAAGAAAAAAATAAGGATGAAAAGTTTATAATTCAGAGGTACAAGAATTATCAATCATGGCTAAGTTGGTATGTTAAGCTCAGGCTGCAGAAAATGCAAATTACTATTTATTCTTATTTTGAAATGTGCAATTAGACAGGTAAAAAAGAACATTGCGAGTAGTAGTGTACCAATAGAGGTTAGAAAATTATATTCAAGGTTAAAGTACTGCCGTTCAGTATGCATCAGCTGTTTTTTGTGCCTTTATTCTTTTAACTATTTGACTATGAGAATTGGGAATAAATTACTTTGATAATATTATTATGTTACTCGTATGAAGCCATTACGTTCAGTATTCAGTAGGCAAGAACAAACAACATGTAATTAATCATACCTTTTTGTTGAAAATCTTTATCAGTTTTTACAAAGCCAGCAACCAAAGCCCTCGGCAACGCTGCTACCCACTCATCTCTGTTGAGATCCGGGGGAATGGCACTTAAAACGTTGTTAAGAAGATTCTCCTTGGCATAAACAGCAGCAGCAGATCCATTGTGTCCATCAAATAGCTGTAAATTTTCTGCATCAGAAAATGCAAATGCAAAAAGAAAAACAAAAATCGAAACCAAGAAAAATAGGGTATAACTGAGTCATATCATTTGCATTCGCCACATAAAAAGGCTACCACTATTCTTGATACCCAACTAATAAAAGTGAATTAGGATGAAAACAAAGTTCATTTGCTTTCAAATACACCCAAACAGAAAGCATTCAGAAAACAAAACTATAACATGAAAACCATTGCTTGGAGAGGGGTGGCTAGGCACTGGGCAAATAAGTCAGCAATAAGGTCTTCCGTGCAGATAGAGATAAAATATTCAATTTGCTAAACTATTTCCTGTTTAAACATGCCATGAACTAAAAGAGGCAAATACATCAATAATTCAAATTTAAGTTTTTTTGTTTTTTGAAAGTTTGGTATCCGGCCTTGCAACCGTCTAATCCAAGTGGACCAATCCCACCGTCCACTTGCGGGGGCCATTTAAAGGCAGGACAAAATTCTGTATGAACTGACCCGACACAGGATTGTTGGCACCCAACAGGATTAGAACCTCAGACTTAAGAGGAACACACTCTCAGGACTCAAACATTCACCAACAGGCCAAACCCTTTGTTACTCAACAACAAGTATGACCGATTCACACAGATTTTGACAAAAGAAAACTATGCTTTGGAGCGTCATAAAAATCATAGTGCCCGTGTGCCACCGTGATTTTACCAAACTCAGCCAATCCAAACATGCACAACATAGTTCAGCTGCTTCTTTTTTCCACCCAAATCATTTACTTTTCTCAATCATCATCTCATGCAAAGATCGTAAGCAAAATAAGACCAAAAGAAACACATTGACAATTCATGCCTCGAAATAACATAAATAATCAATACAATACAATCCATCAAATTACAATTCAAAAAGCAAAAACTAAAAGCATGATTTAGAAAGAAAAAAAACATACCCCAAAAACAGAATAGGTAGAAACCCCATCTGCAACAACTCTTTGTCGTTCGGTCTTTATCAACGTGAAATCCTCTCCTTTCTTATTCTCGCTAGCTTGGCTATACACAACAACCAAATTTGATTTCTCGACTTTCTCATTTGCCAATTCCCGTTTCAAGAGCACTGCAAGAGGAACGGTATGGTGTTGATGTTGGTGTTGATGTTGGTGTTGATGTTGGTGTTGGTGATGGTGTTGGTGATGGTGTTGGCGTTCATTCCGACCAGACATTGTTCCCTCTAAACAACCTCAATTTCTTCAAATATACAACACAACAACAATCTCTGCTTCAATTTAATAATCGTCAACTCTTGGTAGGTTACAACAAAAATCCTAAAATAGAAAAACAAATCAAACAAATCAACAATCATAAACATTAATTAACAAGCATTATGAAAAAATAGATCGCAATGTAATTAAGTAAATTAAAAAACGGTTATGGAAATTAATGAGTTCGTTAGTTAAATTAAATATGGAAAAGGAAATTTACTTGAAAATGGAAGAAAAAGAGAGTTGCAATCAGGCGCGAAAGAATTGGGATACGTTGAAATGCGGTTGTCGAAAAATGTGGATCCCGGCGTTCTGCAAAACTTGCATCGGAGAGAGAGAGAGAGAGAGAGAGAAAAGAAGAATCAATGAATCAATGAACGAAAGAGAAAACCGTTCATTTTTTTCTTGCCCAAAAAAACGTAAATAAAGAAAGAGAGAATGAGTTGGCCAAAACGCAGCGTTCCGTAGCTCGGCGCAAGCTATTTTTTGGAGACAGCAGTTACCGTAGGGCCCGATCGATATCGATATTTTTATTATTATTATGACTTTCTCTCTGTGAAATTATAAATAAAGTTGATTATTTAACATATTTGACAATTAATGCATGTAATTCATATATAAATTATATATATTAATTATTAAATATATTAAAATAACAATTTTAAAACAATAGTAGATGATTTAATTTTGAATTTTTTGACTTCATATTAACATTAATTTTTTACGGATTAAAAAAAAAAAAATTTAACTCCTAAAATTTAATCGCATAAAATCTATATATTTTACTTATTATTATAAATAAATTTTATTTTTTATGGTATATTTGATTGTTAATGTATACAATTTATATATGAATTAGATACGGTTAGTTGTATAATTTTTGTTCAGTTATATTTGAATTTTTAGCATGTATTTGAGTCAGAGTATTTTGCCTATATAAAAGGTCATTATGGTTGTAATCAAGTATGTAGCAATAATAATACAGTCAGTTAAAAGTTAGTTACACTCAACTAACTCACAATCTCTCTTCTCTTCTTCTTCTTCTTCTTATTTTTCTCAAAATCATTTTTCTTGAATCTTTTGTTCCAACAAATTGGTATCAAGAGCTTGTTTGCGATTCAGAGAGAATCTAATGGCAAATAGATCAACAACATCAACACAGTTTCCAGCGAATCTATCAGTTTTCAAAGGTGAAAACTATCAACGGTGGGTTGCGCAAATGAAGGTTATTTTCAGATTTCAAGATGTCGTAGAAATCTTGAATGATGGAATATCAGAACTGGAAATAGATGCTACGGAAGCCCATAAAGTTGCGCACAAAGATCAGAGGAAGAAAGATGGAAAGGCGTTGTTCTTGATTCACCGTTGTGTGTATTGTGACATATTTGAGAAGATAATTGGAGAAGAAACAACAAAAGGAGCTTGGGAAAAGCTAAAATCCTTGTATGGTGGAGATGAGAAACTGAAGAAGGTGAAGTTACAGACATTGAGGAAGCAGTACGAGATGCTTAAGATGAAAGAGGATTAATCTATTTATGCATAGTTCTCAAGAATTGTGACGCTAACAAACCAGATAAAGGCATGTGGTGAAGCGTGTACGGATTTGCAAAAGATAGAAAAGGTATTGAGATCTTTAATCGCAGATTTTGATTATTTTATTATGACAATTGAAGAGGCCAAGAATCTATCTGAGATGAAGTTGGAAGAACTTCAAGCCTCATTGGAGGCTCACGAAATGAGGTTGCAGCAGAGAAACTTAGAAAGAGAGAAGGCAGTTGAACAAGCATTGTAATCAAGATTCAGCAAGAAAGCTGGAAAAGAGAAGTCGAAGCAGCGAAAGAATCTTGCTGGTGATGAGAAGTCAAGCAAGAATACTAACTCGAAAGGTGTGGGAAACAAGTATTCTGGGAAGAAAGTTTACACGAAAGAGGTGCAATGTTACAATTGTCAAGAGTTTGGCCACTATGCTAGAGATTGTCGGAGAAAAAAAGCTGCAAGGTCGAAAGATAGTGATGAAGCTCAATATGCACGAGCTGGAGATAGTGATTCTGATGATGTGTTGTTGCTAGTGAACACTCAGTCGACTACTGAGAAAAACAACACGTGGTATCTGGATTCAGGATGTAGCAACCACATGACTGGAAATAAAAACTAGTTTACCAAGTTAGATGAGTCAGTCGAAAAGGTGATAAAGTTTGCAGATGGCAGGCATATCAAATCAGGTGGTAAAGGAGATATTTCGATTATCATAAAGGATGGTCGAAAGGCTACTATCACTGAAGTTCTATATGTACCTTCAATGACAAGTAACTTGATAAGTGTAGGTCAATTACTTGCAAAAGGCTTCAATATGAAGTTAGAGAATAATCAGATGAAGGTATATAGGGCTGATGGGAGGCTAATAATGAAAGCATCATTGGAGGAGAACAAAGCGTTCATGATTGAACTCAACACGTCAGATCACAAATGTCTTACTTCAACTACAGAAGAAGACAAGAACTGGCAATGGCATTACAAGTATGGACATCTAAACTTTAAGAGTTTATGTATGCTCAATAAGAAAATAATGGTGCTTGGGTTGCCGTATGTGAAGGAACCAAAGCAGATATGCGAGGAATGTTGCAAAGCTAAACAAGCAAGAAAGGCGTTCAAACGTGACTTGCCTATAAGATCGAGGCAAAAACTGGAGCTGGTTCATTCAGATGTATGTTGACCCTTTGAAGTAAAGTCTAATGGAGGTAACAGGTATTTCCTTACTTTCATTGATGAATTCACCAGACATATGTGGATTTAGCTTATTGAAAGGAAAAATGAGGTATTCACACAGTTCAAGAAGTTCAAGTTGCATGCTAAGAAACAAAGTGGCTGCAAATTGAAGAAGTTAAGAACTGATGGTGGTGATGAATATACTTCTGCTGAATTTGCTAGATTTTGCAATGAGGAAGGTATAGAGCATGAGGTTATTGCACCCTATACACCTCAACATAATGGCACAACTGAGAGAAATAATAGAAGTGTACTGAACATGACGAGATGTATGTTGAAAGCTAAGAATATTCCTAAGAGATTTTGGGTTGAAGCAGCTTCAACAGCAGTATATATTCTAAATAGATGCCCAACAAAGAAGATGGTCGAAAAGACACCGCATGAGGCTTGGACATGGTCGAAGCCAAATGTAAGTCATCTTAGAGTTTTTGGATCAATATGTTTCAGGCATGTACCTGAACAATTGAGAAAGAAGTTGGATGATCAAAGTGAAGTCATGATGCTCATAGGTTATCATTCGAATGATGCATACAAGTTGTATTCACCAATCAAAGATAAACTATTGATAAGTAGAGATGTTCTTGTAGACAAAAGAAAAGGGTAGGATTGGAGTCAAAGATCAGTTCGACAAGAATCAGACACAGTCACAACTGTGTTCGAAGAAGATAAATAGAACGAAGCTTCAACAAATCGAAATGAATAAGGTGATACTTCGACTGGTCGAAATGAAGAACCACCTGTGCAGAATGAAAGAAGATCCACAAGAACAAGAACTGAGTCGACTAGGCTAATTGGATATGAGAGGTTTCCAGATCAAGAAATCGATGCAGATGGTGACTTAATCGAAGAAACCATGATGATGGTTGAAGCAGAACCAATTGATTTTGGTGAAGCCTTGAGCAATTCGAATTGGTGTGAATCCATGAAAGAAGAACTTAGAGCCATTGAGAAGAACAAGACTTGAGAGCTTGTCAAAAGAACCAACAAGAAACCAATTGATATGAAATGGATCTATAAGGTCAAATGAAGGTCAAATGGTAAGATTGCAAAGTATAAGACAAGACTGGTGGCCAGAGGTTTTCTACAAAAACCTGGTATTGACTTCAATGAAGTATATGCGCCTGTTGCGAGGATTGAAACAATCAGGATTGTTGTCTCGATAGTTGCATGTAGAGGATGGAAAATGCACCAACTTGATGTAAAGTCGGCATTTTTGAATGGTCTATTGGAAGAAGAAGTCTACGTTACTCAACCACCAGGTTTCGACGTCAAACGGCAGGAGTCGAAAGTTTACAAATTAAGGAAGGCTCTCTCTATGGATTGAAGCAAGCTCCTAGAGCTTGGAATAAAAGGATAGATAGCTTCCTAATCAAAGCAGGTTTCACAAAGTGTGTCTCTGAACATGGAGTATATGTAAATGATGTCGAAAGTTTCAATCAAATCATTTTATGTCTCTATGTTGATGACTTACTCATTACAGGAGCAAACGAAGCTGAGATAATGAAGGTAAAGTCGAAGTTAATGCAGGAATTTGAAATGTCTGATTTAGGGAATCTCTCCTATTTTCTGGGAATGGAATTCAAAGACATCGAAGAAGGATTTTTCTTGCATCAAATGAAGTATGCTTAAGATATACTGAAGAGGTTCCATATGAGCAACTATAAGGCAGTTGTTACTCCATTAGAGACTGGAGCAAAGCTGAAAAAGGAATCGAATGATGAATTTGTAAGTTCGACCCTTTACAAACAAATCATTGGATCCTTGAGGTATCTTTGCAATACTATACCAGATATCTGCCAAAGTGTAGGATTGTTGAGCATATTTATGGAGAAGCTTCAAGAATGTCATCTCATCGCAGTAAAGAGGGTGTTGAGATACATAAAAGAAACTATTGATCATGGTGTACTGTTACCAAAGAAATCAAAGAACAACTCAGATATCGAAGTTCATGGATACACTGACTCAGACTTCAGTGGAGATCAAGACGAAAAGAAGAGTACTGTAGGATACATTTTCATGATCGAATGAGCTCCAATCTCCTGGAGTTATAGGAAGAAAAGCATTGTGACTTTGTCATCATGCAAAGCAGAATATGTGGTTGCATCATATGCTGCATGCCAAGCAGCATGAATCGAAATGCTACTTGAAGAACTCAGAATAATGGAATCGAAGATGAGGTTGTTTGTTGATAACAA